CCTGGCATCATTCAAACTACTGTCGAAACACTGTTCTTTCGCGGCTTGGTCGTAAATATAATGAACAATTTGGACACATTGACCTCTTTGCGAAATCTAAACTTACGTTTAAAGATTACATCAAGAAAACTATTACGAAATAGAGCAGTTGAAGTTAAATTCACATACAATCATATATTCTCTCATCTATTTCTTCTATATGTATTTTTGAGGCTACTAATATAAATATAAGTACTTAAGTTATTTTATTTAATATATATTATAATTAATTATTTGTATTATGTTTATATATTTAAACATTTAATATGTATATATACATAAGTAAATATATATGTATGTATATATATATATATATATATATATATATCTCTTATATGTTTATATATATATATTTATATATATATATATAAAGGTAATCTAATATATCATTCTACCTGACTATCTCTCCTGATCTGTAAACTTATGACCACCTTCATTACATTGAATTGCTTATAATTTTGCTTATAATTTATCTATTAGATTGTTCTTTTTCCTTTTCTCCTAACAACAATACACATACCATCAAACAATATAAGGGAAACCTGTTATTGGCCATACTTTTAGTTTGTTACATTAATGTTAATATTTTCTATATACGCTGTTGGTTTTCTAAATAAATAAATAAATAAATAAAAGGTAAAATTAAGCTTTTTTGACATTAGAAAGGGACAATTGTATCCTAGTTCATTGGATGTGGGTTTATATTCATACAAAAAGTCTATGAAAGTCTAAGTCTATCTCCCATTTTAGCTACTATAGATATTATATCCACTGGTGTGCCCATGCTCGAAGGGTGGATAAAAAAACTAAGCGAGGGGATAAACATTTTCTCCATTCTCCGGGGATAAACTTGTCTCCTGCCCAAGCTAGCCTTGCAAGTGGACTATGTGTTCGCTGTTCGCCCATAGTCTATAACAAATACATACGCTGTGTGGAGGCTAAGAAGGTAATGGGTTCGGTTCGCACATTACTGAGTTCCAAACCTTTCTTTGTGTGGACAATAAACTTTACTTGCTAAACTGGTCAAGCTGATCGCCCGATAGCACCCGTAGTCAAAATGTGAACCTTTACCTTTATATAAAGGCACAATGACTGCGGATCGCCAATCATCCGGGACATCCCCCGTCCGCCAGCACAAATTGCACAGCAGATGAAAGCTGTCCCAGACGCGAGGCCCACCATACTTGACCATTTCAGCAGTAACTCTGTCTAGTCCCGCAGCCTTACCACATTTCAAACTTCGAATCGCACGTTCAATCTCTTACATACTAATGACCTCAATGTCATCGAGGTCCAGGTCTGGCGTACCAGTCACGGCGTCATCCCCGGATCCCTCACTAAGATCATCACACGCATACATTTCGCTATAAAATTCGCTCCATCACTGCATGACGTCCGATTTTTCTGAGAGGACGTCATTAGTTCTCGAAAGCACTTTGTTCATTCTTAAGGCCGTCGCACCACTTCGGGTCCTTCCAACTTCTTTACAGAAGAGTTTAGAGTTCTCCTTAAAGTTGTGCGACAACCTTTCGTCCGCTTCCATTCTACACCTTTCACGCACTTCCTCAATCAATACTTTCGTGTGAATTTTCTGCAGCTTATATCTTTCTTTCATCTTCTCTCTCATATCCTTATCATTACTAGAGGCCAAGTAGTCTAACCATGCTTTCTTCTTCTTCTTTACAGCTTCTTTCACTTCATCATTCCCCCTTGCATCTCTTCTTTTACTACTGCCTCTTTTTATTGTTCCACACACTTCTTCCGCTGCACTTACCATTCCATCCCTAAGGTTCTGTCATGTTCTTTCCACACATTCTTTTCTGCCATCGACGGTGTCAAGCTTTTCGGCTACCCTCGCATCATATTTGTCCCTAGTATCCGCTTCCTGAAGCTTCCAGCTTCGGATGCGACAGCGGACATACGGATAGTTTGTATAGTGCAAAATGTATTTAATAAATCGTTTCCTGTAATTTAGATATAAGGAAAGTAATGATTTGATTGAAGTTGATCGTGTGTTTTTTTTTACGTACGGTCTTATGGAGATAATTATAATCGTCGATTTATTGATTGTGTTAATTGGTTTATTCAGTCACGCCTTCTGGTAGTGTGTCTCTAAAAAACTTTAAAAAAATGTGCCAAATTTTATAGTTCTTTAACGCCAAACGACTTTGAGTTTCCTCATAAGGTTAGCAGCTAAAATCTACATCGATGACCTATAGATCATCCCACTGGTTGTTATCTTGTGTTGTAGATGCTAGGGCACCTTTTTCTTCATCATCAGTCTGCAAAAGGCTACAGCTACTGATCTTTCTCTTTGTACATCCTTCGAAAGATGTTAGATTTGTCTTAATGGTCACATTTGGCAAGCGCATTTTTGGTAGCACTACGAGACATTTCGCGCCCTTAACCTGTTCCCTGTAGCTGGTTACATAATTAAAAATTTAAAATGTTCAACCGACTTCAATATAAATTATTAAAAATAACTCAAAGACTATTAATCAGATCTTGATCAAATTTATATGAGACCACATGAGAAGCACCAGTTTTCTAATAAAAAAGGAATCATTGAATTCAATTCATTCATAAAAAGTTATGAGGTAACATAAATTAAAAAATAAAACATTAAATCGAATCTGTAAAAAAACCACAGTCGCCTCTTATGACAGCCTTGGGACAAATATTTATTAATATATTTTACTCTTTATAGTACTCTAAAAAAGAAAGCATAAAAATAGAAGAGCTTATAACACGTGTAAGTATGCACATGAATATTATGATAATAGATAAATAAATTGTTACCACATAAATTTATGAAGCAAAAGTAAAAGTATGCTAAATTGTACGTAGCAAACGCTACAATTTGCTACACCATTTGTAGCAAATGTAGAACTATTGATGTTACGTAGCATTCATTAATGGTGTCATGTATTTAATAGTAAAGCAAAAAATAAAGTTACAACTTATGCTTGTTCCACTCCTGGAAAGAGTTTTCATTCAATAATTCCAGCCTATAAAAGCCCACAGCTAAATATAGGCCTCCCCCGTAGATTGCCTCATAGACGAAATTTCGCTATATTACTAAGCATAGCAGGCGGGTTAGCAATCGCTGTTTTTTGTAACGAAGTTCTTTATCGGACAGTACGAACTTAGCAGATGGGGGCTAGGCGACAAAAAGTGTAAGATTTTTCCGTCGCGACCCTTTCTGTCGTAGTGTAGACGGCTTTGGCGGCTATAAGGAAGGGCGAGATAGAATAATATCCATCTTCATCGCACTTTACTTGTTTGTTTTTTTCGTTTGTTGTTAGGAAGATGCTGATGCCCATCTTCTATTTCAGCAATCCTCTGGCGCCTTTTATGACACCTACAAGATGATACAGTGTATTAAATTCTCTTACGCCGCCAATTCACGACTGGGTCGTTAGCTAACCACCTATAAAAGAAGTTAACTACATATTTTTTTATAAAATAACGATGACAAACGAGCACACAGCAGCAGTATTAAGCTGTTATTTAAGGTCGAATATAGAGTTCCTCAAAACCTGTAATTGTAATAGGTCTGTTGTCCTTCGTATTACCTCTAGCCTTTGTTCCTTTCGTAACTGCGTACAGGTATTCTCTCATTTATGGTAGAGATTTAGGGCAGATTCCAATGCGCTGCTCCAATGCATGTTAGCGGACTTCACATGAGTTCACTTAGCCCCTGAGTTACTAAGGTCCAAACAGAAAACCACAGTAATAGTAACGAAGCAATCCAATTTATTTCTCAGGAGTGATAACGCATCTGTATTTTGATTCTTAATCGAGATGTAAGTATCTATGTGCTGAAGTATCTTAGCTTTTAGATTTAGAGTTCGGGTGACGAACGAGTACACAGTCAACTTGATGGTAAGTGAATACGGTGGCCCGTAGATATTTACATTTATCCTTGACTAAGAATCAAAATACAGATGCGTCGTCACCCCTGAGAACTAAGATGGAATGCCTCATTTATAGTAATAAGAGTCTCTGGTTCTCTATACTCACCAAACGAAACACAGCAGTATTAAGCTGCTAGTGTGTGCTGGCATTCTGTGAAAACGTGTTCATTCCCCGGTCGGGTCAACCTATTCGTGCTACAACTATAATATACCAGCAGCATAGTTCTACCACGTATAAATACAAGATACAACCAAAATCTGACTATAAAAATTTACTTTTTATTAAAAAGGAAAGAATTCTCAAATCGAACTCAAGGTTATTACTTAAATTTCGTACGGTAAGATCTTGAAAGAAATCAACACATTACAAGCCTTTTCGAGAACTCTAACAAGGGCTCTTCAACATTGTTCCATTAATGTAGACACAATCACACAGAATACAATGCCTTTGTTAATAGTTTGACCTTATTTGAAATACGAGTCGACAATTCAATCGATCCAATTTAATTGAAGAAAGCGACTACTTAAAACGTTTTACCGCATTGCTATTAGAAAAAAAGAATTTCAAAGCTTTTGAAAAGTTTTCACTATTGTACGATAAACTTAGCTTTTTTATTTATTTCTTTTACTTATGGCACTTTTACTCACGCTAGTGGAACGTTCCGATTGGACTACGCCTATTGTACCGGTGCTCATAAAAGACGGTTATATTAGATCTGTGCTGATTATAAATTAACACTTAATAAAATTTCAGAAGTTGACCGTTATCCCCTTCCCCGTATTGAGGATTCATTGGTTAGGCTATACGGAGGAAAGCATTTTAGAAAAATTGATCTCTCTCAAGCGCACGCTCAAATGGTTTTGGATGATAAAAAAAATATACTGTAATTAATACACATAAAGTTCTTTTTGTATACAATCGTTTAGTTTATGGCCTCTTGTCAAGTCTGGGGATTTGTCAACTTCGATTGGAGGAAACGTTTGCAGATATACCTCAGGCAGGTGTCTTTTCAGATGACGTTATTATTATTGGATAAACGACAGCAGAACATATAAATAATTTGTTCAAGGTATTCGAAAGGTTGAAGAAAAACGAACTCAAGGTTAAGAAGGGGAAGTGCGAGTTTTTTGCGGAGTCTATTAATTATTTAGGACACGTGATAAGTAGAGACGCCGTACACACTTGTCCCAATAAAATTAAAGCTATCATAGACACACCAGCTCCGTCAAATATTCATGAATTAAGATCGTTTATAGGGATGGTTATGTATTAGAATAAAATTATATATTGAATCAGGTTAGCCTACGGTTTGTCCTGACGAGGAGGTAAAACCTTACTTTACTCGACGGTATGAGTTATATGTCGAGTGTGGATGTGTGATGTTATCGGCTTGTTATGCCTACTAGTTTACGGTTATTACTTTAAAAGCAATTACATAGCGGACATATGGGTATAGTTAAAACTAAAAGTTATGCTCGAGGCTATGTTTGGTGGCCACGAATCGATGAAGAGATTGAAGTGCCGTGCCGAAATTGCGAGACATGTTCGTGGGAGCAGGATGCACCACCATGGTCTCCTCCATACCCTTGGCCATACACATCTCAACGTTGGACCCGGGTCCATGTTGATTTCCTAGGCCCAATATTAGGTAAAACATTTTTTATGTTAATCGACGCATATTCCAAATGGTTGGAAATTGTAGAAATGAGGCAATCCAATAGGAGTTCTTCGTTGTATGTTTGCGAGATTCGGGTTGCCTGTAGATCTAGTTTCGGATCAATGTGCACCGTTTACAAGCATGATATTTTGATCATTTTTAAAAAATGACGGCATACTTCATTTGTTTTCAGCGACATATCATCCGTCTTCAAATGGTGCCGCAGAAAATGCTTTCAAGCTTTGTAAAAGGGCGATAAAAAAGACTATCAGAGATAAAGTCAATGTTGACATATCTTTACAGACGTTTTTATTAGGATACCGAAATACCATACACGGTACTACAGGTGAAATACCGGCCATGTTACTACAACTTCGCTCGTTACGCTCGCGTTTAGATTTGCTACGTGCCAACTGATTAATAAAAAATAAGGCTTATGCAGCTCAGGATAGACAGAAAAATATGCAGGGGGAATTCAACGGAATGTAATGCCGGGGGAACCAATTTGGGCTTATGGGTTTAGTTCACAGGATAAGTGAATTAAGGGGAAGGTAAATGAGAGAGAAGGTTCGAATAAGTACGTTCTAAACTCAAACTCAAACATTTTATTGCGTTCATGTGGTTATAAATAGTTCTTATGTTGGATATACTCGTAATAGAGCCAAACATGAGCCCTGATAGCGCATAGCAACATTATATATTAATTTAATTTAATTGATTTATAAAGAATAATTACTTATTTTATTTGCATAAGCTAAACATTACTTTCAGGTTAAATAAACATTTGCAATAACTGTTAATACAAGGATAATAAAAACGTATATTCTAGAGGATGATAACGGTCAACTATTTAAAAGACATATTGATCAAATACGACGTAGATCGCATATGTCTGATGTTATTTGTCCCGATAACCCTTATTGTTTGTAGAAAATGCCAAAAACGGAAGTGAGGATGATATCGTAGAGGCCAGGGAAAAGGTGGATGTCAGTAAGGGCAGTAAAGAACACGATGTAAGTCCAGTTCCGGAACTAGAATCTAAAGGAGCATCCGCGGTTGAACTTACTGACGATACTGATATCTCTAATAATCATCCACCACAAAGTATCCCGGAGCCTCGTTACCCCCAACGAGCTCGCAAACCTGTAGTAAGATTTGGTTTAGAATTTGATTAGTTATTAAAATTGTAAAATATAATTAGATATTTAAACTGTATAATCCTAGATTAAGAACTAAGGAAATGGAGTTTTGTATACACACACACACACATATATATATATTATGTAAAATATTTAATAAAATGTATAAGAGAGTGTTAAGATTTAAGGGTGGAGGTGTAATGTAGGTAGAATAATAATTTGTAATATTTCGTCATTGTGAATTGCAAATAGATAGTTTTGTATGTACTAGGTGCTAGGATTTTTTAATATGAGGAGTCCAGCTTGTCTAGTACCACCATATAGCCCTTTACTAGAACCATTTAGGAGTGCTTTCACTGTTGTTTTCCTGTTTGAAAGGGATAAAGTGCTAGTATAATTACAAGCTGAGGCTTCCATTTTCTTTTTCAGTTATGACAATGCACTTAATCTTCTTAGTTTGATGTATTTATTTACTTATCTTCACGCACAATCCCTGACGGGGTAGCCATGTATTTATTTAACTGTGAAAAGTATAGGCTGAGTTAATCCAATGTTTGATGAAGGAAATTACGTCGACTAGACTTCAACACATTACAAGTATTGAAAATATAATATACGTTTAATATAATTTACCTACTTACTTACTTCTTCAGAAGCTGCTATCTCTCGGCATTCATGGGGACTTACTGAGATGGATTCGATCTTATTTGACTAACCGTTCTCAGGCTATTGTTTTAGGCGGTTATAGGTCAGATTTCGTAACGGTTCCCACTGGCGTTTCTCAAGGCTCCCACCTTGGTCCTTTCTTTTACAACGCTTATATTTACGATATATGTCAATATATAAAAAATTCTCAACATGTACTTTATGCTGATTATAAAAAAATATATCGGCATGTACGCACTATCAAGGACTGTGAACTAATTCAAAATGACTTAAATACATTAAACTATTACTATGCCGCTAATAAGATCACGGTAAATGTTGGTAAGTGTCAGAGTATTTCATTTACGCGGAAAACTAATTGCATAGTTTTTCCATACAATTTCAATGGTGTTGTAATCGAGTGGGCTACGGTGGTCGTGCGCGATCTAGGCGTATATTTTGACTCCCGCATGACAATGAACGAGCATATTGATGCTATTTGCAGTAAAGCTTTTCGTAATTTGGGATTTGTAACTAGATTTTGTCTTCCTTTCTCTAATTTGCAGAGCCTAATAGTAGTATATTTCACATATTTTAGATCTATATTAGAGTATGCCTGTGAAATATGGTCACTATTTTATGCTAAACATGTTCATACTATCGAAAAGATTCAAAATAAGTTTATTTCCCATTTAGATTATAAATTTAGACGTTCTGGCTCTTCATATCGAGATGATTGCAGATTTTACGGCCTGTTAATGCTTGAAGAAAGACGTGCTCTGCTGGATATGGGACTTTTATTCGACATATTACACGGAGGAATTGACTGCCCTGATTTATTGGCCTACATCAAATTTAACGTCCCAATGAAACGTACCAGACATACAAGATACTAATCAGAAACATCCCCTTTCAATGGACCAATTATGGGAAAAACGGTGATCTAACGCGTTTGGTAGCAACTTACGACAGAAAATTTAGCTCAATTGATCCTTTTAATAGTACTTAACGTGGATTCAAAAATAAAATTAACAAGTTTCTATTCACTCCAGCTGATAGTAATCAGTAAATTGTAATTAAAATAGTACCCAAATCATTATTTGTTCCCTCGTTTAATACTGTTATTCTTTCATCATTAAAATGATTGTATACATGTATGTTGTATGTGTATTTATGTCTCTCTCTCTCTATATATATATGTATATGTGTGTATATATGTATATATATATATATATATATATATATATATATATGTATGTGTATGTGTATGTATATATATACATATATAAATTTGTGTCTCTTTTCAATTTTATCTATTTTATATTATAACAATATCACCAAAATATATCTGCATTTATATATTCATATCATTTATATCATTCGCAGTGTTTGTAAGTTTCATTATGTACGTCTTTTGTACGTGTATATATGTGTATGAGTATATGTATGAACATCATGAAAGTAATATTAATATTTCAATTAATTTATTAATGCTTAGAATTAGTGCTTACTGAATGTGTTTTGTACATTTACAATGTTATGTTTGGTTATTTACTTTGTGGATAACTATTATTGGCTTTTTCGTGTTTAATAATTTAAGTAAAATGTTTAAGTATTAATAAGCTGTTGTAATCCTGAATATAATTAAAATAATATATAATTCTTAGTAATGATAATAAATAACCCTCTCATTGGTAACAAGTTTCGTCCTCTGACGAAGATTTTGCATTAAAATTTATATATATATATATATATATATATATATATATATATGTATGTGTATGTGTGTATGTATATATATACATATATAAATTTGTGTCTCTTTTCAATTTTATCTATTTTATATTATAACAATATCACCAAAATATATCTGCATTTATATATTCATATCATTTATATCATTCGCAGTGTTTGTAAGTTTCATTATGTACGTCTTTTGTACGTGTATATATGTGTATGAGTATATGTATGAACATCATGAAAGTAATATTAATATTTCAATTAATTTATTAATGCTTAGAATTAGTGCTTACTGAATGTGTTTTGTACATTTACAATGTTATGTTTGGTTATTTACTTTGTGGATAACTATTATTGGCTTTTTCGTGTTTAATAATTTAAGTAAAATGTTTAAGTATTAATAAGCTGTTGTAATCCTGAATAAAATAAAAATAATATATAATTCTTAGTAATGATAATAAATAACCCTCTCATTGGTAACAAGTTTCGTCCTCTGACGAAGATTTTGCATTAAAATTTATATATATATATATATATATATATATATATATATATATATATATATATACGTTTATTTGACGGCCTTTCTGGTATAAAATACGATAAGTTTTATTTGTATAATCCTGGCAAAGTAAGTATAAAAAATATTTAATCATATCTTTCGTAATAAATTATTTTACAAAGCCAGAGTATCGATAACCTGTGTGCACTGGCGACGTATTTTAGAGCTACGTACTTTATATGATACCAGTATATTTCATCTGCTACCTTATTGGGTTCTATGATTTATTTTCCTTCGTGGATATCGCCGCACAGTCTACAAAATCAAGTAATATTTCATTATTAATGTGAGACATCTACTGGCGCCTGGTAATAAAACTTGTATACCGTGATGACAAACGGTAAGACCCTCTTGTTTCGGCTGGCTTTATGGTCTTGAGGATGAAGGCCTCATTCGGATACTCGAACTGATTGTATACATTCCCTTTCGCTTAATGTCATTTACCCCACTATTCTGTTCATTGGTAGCTATTTACACTTATTAGATTTTCTAAGTACATAATTCCCTAAATTGCTACTGAAAGAAAGTTT